GGGGCTGTTCAAGATGTCTTACCTCTCCCCACATGTTTTGGCCCTTCCTCGTCTTTATTTTTACATCCATAAGGTCAGATTAAGACCATGAGGTAATTTCGCAGTAAATATGTTGAAAGTTAAACTGCAAAATGAAATCGGAATAATTTATCACTTTTATTTTGCTATTTTGTTCAGGGTAAAGACGTTTCAACTGAGTGTTGCTTAACCACCGAAGCGTGAGTTTCTTTTGCTTTCTTGCCTACTGTCAAAGTGGTCATTTGAGGAGTGAAATATTGATAAAATTTTTTATTTGCTCTTAAGTCTTCGGAAGGAAAACCGAGATCTATCTGAATCAATTACTGGGGCAGCTGACATTTGTGTTGATATTTTGAGACACCTTTCTGCTCTTCAATCAAAAGTGCCTTTACATTGTGCAGATGGTGAGTCATTTAATAGTAATATTAATATTACTTATATTTAAATAAGTAGAGTTGTTCTGTTAAATGATTTTGGAGGTTTTTTGTTACAATGCATCATGAAATTTCATTGGTGGTTTTTGTAATTATTCATATATAGACGACGCGCTCAATACTGACACAGTAGATCTTAGAAGTGAGTCTTCAGTGTTGATTTTCTGAGAATTTAACTGCTTGGAGCTATACTTTTAATATTTTACTATTGTGTTTTTACCATTTCAGCGACTTTGCAAAAGCTCGGTTCCGAAGTGGAACGACTAGGTAGATCTTATGTTGAATTGAAGGCAAAACAAGGCGAGTGTTTCCTTCTGCTTAAATACTTAAACATTCATTTTACATACACATACTTTAAGCTCACTGTTGCTTTTAAATGTTACTTTTTTTTGTTCCTGTGCCGGGTCTTTTGCTATTATAGGGTAAACGTCCTTAATGAGAGTTCTTAGCCGATCAGTATTAATAAAAATTTCAGTTTTTCACCAACTTCTACCTAGTTCATTTTTTCGAGAACCCTATATATTTTAATTTGTGTTCATTTTTAAGTCGTGCCATCTATATAAAATTTATAAGTAGGTCGCAAGAGTCTATCTTTAAATAGCTTATGTTCTGTGTATCTATATATTTATTGTGTGCTCATAAACTGATTTCGAATTAATGTTACTTTGTGGTTTTTTTTTAACTTTCCATTAAATAGACCCCCTATTTAAGTCGATTTGTAGTCCATTTTGTCTTTTACAGGTGACATGCCCTGTTTTGAGTCATCGAGTTAGTCAAAAGTCACCGTTCAACACTATGTAACGCGCGTGTCGCCAATTGTTATGATATTCCATAAGAGGAGGTCTTTCTGGATGAATGGACTATTTCTTAAATAGATAATATTAGCCAAATTGGTTATTACTTCAATTGTATCTTGTGTGTCAAACGCGAGGCTTTTGTTTATGCTGGGGTTTCGGAAAATACTTTAGCTACTTGTTTTCCTTTTCATTATGTGGCTTGTGGATTTAGTAAAAATCTATAAATTTAATCTCATTAAACGACTTCTTTTTTTTGGTTGCAGCCTCTCAACCCTCCTATATGGCGGAAATCACCGAACTGCGAGAGAAACTGGAAGAAGCTGAGCACTTTATTGGAGCCGAATCTCCCCCTCTTGATTCTCATATTTGTAAGTGGAATATTTGTTGTTCTGGCGATGTTGCTGTTGCCACTCCATTTTAGTTGTCGCAATTTCAAGCAGAATTGTGCCTCCCAACGTATAGTTATGATGTCTACTTCGAAACGCTTATATCTAGGTCAATATTTTATTGTTTTTTACATTAAGACCTTGTTTAGGAATGATCTAGTACCATGCTTTTCAATTTTTCTGCTTTGAAGGGGTCACTTTAGTGTGGATGTCGGTGATTTTGATAATTTTTTTAATATTTAGTATCCCCCCTTGACTTTCTTACATTTTATTGTGTTTTCTTTCTTTCGTTTGAATTAATTGCTCAATTACAGCAACTTAATCATATCCAGTTTTTGGTTTATGTTCTATGCTAATTTGAAAATTATTTTCTGCACCCCTTGCATTGCTCTCCGTGCAGTTATATCTACTTTACCTAAATGTGGCCTTGAAATCAGCAACAAATTTGGTGCCTATTACTTTAATTTTAACTATGGTAGGTGGAGCTGTTACCACTAGAAGTGTGAAAAGGTTCAACTCTTGATCAAATGAGTGATTTAATTGGGGAGAATTTTCTTCGAACATTTGTAACCTCCTCCCGCTATGTATGGGTTCTGGTGACAATAGCCTGCCTTTTTCTTTATAAAAGGTCAAATTCCTTGCGTTAAGTTCTTTAGATAATTCAGCACTTTTTGTTGCCCTCGCAATCTGCCAATCACGTGCATTGCTGAATTGCAGCAAAGAGTCAGTCGTGTCTGTTTTGGTAATTTAAATGCTCGCTTCCTAATTTGCAATCAAATAAATAAGGTTTGCTTATGCCAGACGACTTTCTCCCAACCGATTGGATTGAATTGTCTTCCATTTGACGTGGAAGGTTAACTGAATGCTCCATCTTATTCTACTTTTATAGTCTAAGCCTACTTTCTCATGCTCTTTGGGCATTCTGTCTTGCAATGCGTATATTATTTAACAAAAAGATATTCAAAAACAGATAGATGGTGAAGATTCCGGTTGCCAGTGAATTTAATTCCATACCCTTTTTCAGCATGAGAATCTGTGCTCACGTATCTGCTCAAGAGAGAAAAAATTGAAAAAATCCCACTGCCATGTAATTTGTATTAATTTGTCTCTAGTGGTCTTTTTTATCTACGCTCCCTTTTATTCACAATTTTCGCACTCTAATCCTTTTTAAGGATTGTTTTGGGTGTGTGTGTGTGGATTTGCGTTCTATATCTGTGCTTATTTGAATGATTTCAAGAACAAACCTGCCCGGTGAAGTGATATTGCGTATATTCTACTACTCTCTGATTTAGAGCTGCACCTAAGGGAGGATGCAATTAGTGTGGTACATTTCTTAATGGGTATAATGAGATTTTAACCAATTCTTCGCTTAAAGACGTTTAGCTTTAGTATTATTCCGAGTCACTTCTTAGTGTATTTGTTTTTAGCATACACCTCAAAAGAGAGATCAGGAAATACAATTTGCGATTGGCTTTTAACTTCTAAATTTATGTGACCAGGAGTGATAATCTAGCTAGAGCTGTTTTTGTGCCCAAAAAAACCTTGAAGTGAAAACAATTGCGAGATTTCAAGTAGCTTGGGGTGGGGGATGGTAGCTGACATAAATTTGATTATCCGCTACAATCGGAGTAATCATTCTGTTTCATGGGTTTGAGACTCGCTACATGCCTAGTTCAATCACGGTTAACATCACGGTTTTTACAATCAATAATGATTAGAGCAAATTCTGGAATAGTGGGGCGAAGTAAGGCTGTGTTGAGACGATAAGTAACTTGTTCCACCTCCAGAAATTTCTGTGTCGCCTCGGTCTTCTTTCAAGACTTTTGCGAAAATGGTGTCTGCCTCCTCCTAATTTCCCAAATTGATGACCAGTCTTATTGTTAGTTTTTTCTCAACTCGACCTTTCTGATTTTTATTTCAGTTTGATGTACTTAATAACACTGTTTTCTGGTTTTTACGGCTTAATCTATTCATAATCTACGTTTCTAAAGACCATATATCAAGATATTTCCTTTAAAGTGTGATAGCTAATTAAGTATGCAACGGAAAATCACGTCTCTTGACTGTTGATGGTCTAAATCGTTCACAAGTGTGCAATTACCGAAGAAGGAAAATGAGCTCAAGCATGCTCTATATAGTTAATAATTGTAGATAGAAAAAATTGAATTAGAATATTGAACAAATAGAAATTCTCTTGCGCTTCGTTCCATTTTCAAATTAAAAGGGCTTATTGGTGCGTGTGCTGAGTGGGGTCAATGGCCATCAGGACACATTTAATTGATGTTAATGGCCAACTGTATTGTTTTTGGGAGGCTGTGGGATGTGGTCGGATTCAGATTAACTTCTTTTTATTCATATTAAGTACTGTTAACGCTTTCCTTTCTCTCATAACGATGGCATTGCTCTCTGCATGTCATGCTATTATCGTGATGTAATTCATAGAAGCCATAGGGTCGGGGTTTTGATGTTTTTATAGGATGAAATTCTTCTCTCATCATACTGCACTCATTTTTCTTCTACTTAAAGATTAACGTATTTTATTGATTTTTGTATACCTGCGTGATTGCCGTTATATAAGGACTCTGTTTTTCGTGTTTTCTATTACTCACATGATTGTCTTGTTGGCGTAGCTTAACCGACGTTTGGATTCATTTTCAGAAAGTAGTGATAGACACATCCTAACGTATCTTGCCACTCAAAATTCACGGTCCTGGTTATCTACTCAAATGTGCCTCCATTTAATGAAATTTTTTTCACCTACGCTTTCCCCTTAGACATCCATGAAAAAATTCCATTTTGGTACCTATTATGACGGGGTTTCGAGATTTCCCCCGTATACGGGTCGAGTTTCTGATGACACTCGTCGGTCTTTGTGTACTATTATCTTTTTTGTCTTCTCAAATAAACAGTCATTTCTCAATCAATTTTCAAATCTATATTGGAAACCACCAATAGCTAACGAGCAAATGAACAATAATATGTACATATAATAAGTTTACATTTCTTTAAGTCATTCATGAGTACACTTTACGAGTTGTTGATTGGTAGCGATGGTAGGTTATCACCAGCACAAAACTTTCTTTTTTAGTAAAGTTTCAAATATATCATTTATTTGAATAGAAGTAGCAATTTTTTTTAAAGATTACCTCATCTCAAAATCGGTGTTCTGAGCTTATCTTTAAGATTTTCAGACCAATTGAACTACATCTCAATTTTCATGATCGAATATTGATATTCCTAATCAACCTTTCCATAAATTAATTTCGATTTATTTGATAAGAAGTAGAAAATGCGCATTTTTAATCGACTAAATTAGCGAAGATTTGGTTTGCTGTGTCTTCATAGCCTTTTAATAATTGGCTTAGTCTAAACTCTCAGATGTACTCAACTAACTCGATTACATGTAACCGACGTCATTTAGGCCTGCATCTTGACAGAGCTTCGATGGAGCCATTTCGTAGTTTCAAATTATTACCCTCTTCTGACCAGTTACCTCTCCATCTAATGTGACAAATAGACCACCTTCATTTCTGCACTGAATTTCATGAGTTAATTTCATGAACAGTTGATCACTATTAACAAATTTTAAGGCTTTGACACAATTCTTCTTGACGTTTTTTAATGACACTTGTGAGTAGAAAAAGTTGCTTGTTAAATTAATTTTAAAATTCAAAGTACCCTTATTTGTGATTGGCACTTCCCCGATTGACTTGCTTGTCAATATTAGTGAGGTAATGGAGATTTTGTTGTAGTGTGCTCAATCGAAGACGGGTTGGGGACTGTCCCGTATTATGCACTTTCAAGCGTTATTTCGAGTAACTAGTCTTTTAGATTGTGTATTGTTGTATGCAATTATCGACTTTTATTAAATATGTTAGTTGGAGGGAATTCATTTTGCTAGCATCTGTTTTCCAATTTGTGTGATCAAGGTTGGTAGTGCGTGAATTTGAATGCAGTTTCAATTGCTAAAATGGGTTTATACGAATTCTGTAATTAATGTTGGGCTTGATTATTGTGTTCCCAAGGTTCTCTCAGGCCCAGATATAATGATCATTAAATAGATTATGAAGGGTGTGACGCTATATGACTTGAAATATAAGATTTTGCTATCCCCTTGTGCATATAGGTGTGTTTATTTGCAGTCTCTTCATGCTCTCCTTGGGCTTATGTTTAGACACCTGTAGTGGTGAGTTTTGCAGGGCAGTTCTCTGCGGTTTACGGCACTATTTGAACCTTCATTTCCCTGATGACTCTCCTCTGTCTTTAAATCCATTTAGCCATAGGGAAAACTCAATTATCTAGCAATAAATTTGCTTTATAATCTCTTAGGTGTTTTGGTAGTAGCTGTTAAATATGGGGGAGTTTGTATGTGTGTTATCTGTTCTGCCACAATTCGACTAATAAAAAATTCTATCCATCTAGTCATTTTATCCCTATTAATTAGTAATTGGGAAACTGCACTTATTGGAATAATGAACTTTCCGGTTTTTCTCATTTCTCTCACGGCGTAATGTAAAGTGATCGTAAATCAGATCATCATTTCATATTCTCATATACCTCTTTGTGAGAATAGGATCAATTTTCCCTACCATTTTCATTTGCAAACAAACCTTGCTCATTTTATTTTACGAAGCCATTGTCTCTAATATCGAAATTTATGGCATTCTAATGCATCTCTTTGGTTTATATAAACAGGTGTTAATGTTAGAGCATACACATGCTTGAAAATTTATTTTGCCGAAATAAATTTTGGTTAGAATTAGGGTCACTGGATTCAGTCGCTTTCCAAATTCATCTTTTCCCTTGCTCGTAAACAGAATGACAAATCAGTTTAATCTGAATTTGAAATAGAAACACATTTTCTTTACAACTTGCTCTTAATTAGCTGTTTTCTTAAAGTGGAGGCTGGGTGATTGGGTCCATCATTTTTTAATTTTAGGAATTAAAAAATCTGATTGATGTTTTTCGTTTTGTTAAATGAAAGATTTTTGTAACTGTTTTGAGAATACTTTCAAATTCTCTGAGATTTCATTTACCTAACTTTATTTGGATTTTGTGACAGCATTGCTAATGAAAAAATGCCTCGAAAATGAAAGAGAACAACTCCAACGAGAGTTAAATCAAAGACTCGCAGACTGTGGAACTACCCATGCAACCTCTGTTGCAGAGTTGGAGAAGGTTCAAGCTGATCTCTCTGCTCGACTCAATGCTTCTGAGGTTCGCGCCTGCAATCTCGAATCCGAGCGTAATGCTATTGTTCAGAAGCTCAATGCAACGGTATGTGCCATTCCCTTTCTGCTTATTTCCTTTTTAAATTGATCGAGATAGTTACATTATTCAATGACTACTTTCTCTCCTAGGAGCGCTTCCTTAATGAGCAGCTACAAGAGCGAGAATTGGAAAGGGAGGAGTACCAGACTGAAGTTAGTACTCTTCAAGGGGAAATAGCAAGTCTCAGGTTTGTGAATTTTTTTATCTTTGCTGTTTGAAAAAAAATTTTTTTGTGATTGGGTGGATCTTAGTGGAATGTAGATTATGTTGTATGACTGTTGTTCGTTTATCTTTAGAGTTTTTTTCAGTTGATTAAAATTGTTTGTTTAACAGGCCTTACTTATCTTATATGTTAATTTAGAAACAAGCTGACTGTCCTACAAAGGCAAAGATCCCTTGAATCCGTATCGACTTCTTCTCTGGCTCATACGCCTCTTGCAAGTCCAATAAAACCACAAAAGAGTAAATCACGCCAAAGTGGTATTCAGATCCGTGCAACATCTACACCGGTTACTGTTTCTTCTCAGGGTAAAATGCGTCCACAAACGCTGACCAGCTCCTTCCTCTCTGTGCCTGATACATCAGATCATAGTGATGTTGATGACTCACCGTCTTTTGAACTCGCCCCGACACCACAAGGAATAGAGCCTCAGGCGAATACTCTACCTCGTGATTGGGTAAGTACTGAAATATTTTTCAGTAGCGATATTTATTTTTGTTCAAGTAATGTATATACGCTAAAATTTCTCAAATACTGGGCTGTTAGTGAATTTTAATTCAACCCACACTCTCAGCTGAGCTTGGTAAATTCATGATTTTGGATGTATCATCGTCCACCGAGAATTTTGCATTACATTCCTCTGAATTCTATTCAAGAGGAATTTTTGACCGCTAACAATTAACCATTGGCTATTTTACGTGGATTGCCAATAATAAGCCATTTTTGTGGTGGTAGCGAGGTTCAGCTACATGCGCGCACTTCTCAGATAATCAAAATTCATAAAATCTCGACAAAAAAGTTTATTTTTCTTTCAATCTTTATTTCATTTTTCATAAAAGCTGCATATTTTATTACGTCAATGTTTTTTAATTCAATATAATTGATTTTGTGGATACTTATTTTCACTGACACCTTTTGTTGCTATTTAGCAGACTAATTGAGTCTTTAGGAGAAACTCTATGGCCCAAATTTAGCATTGCGTTTAATTACTTCACAGTTTGGCATCTTTCACATAGTGGGGGTCAAACACCATGGTCTTCTAACCATTGATTGGTTTGTTAAATTAACCTCTAACAGGATTAATCTCTCTGCTACAAAGTTTCTCTCTATTAAAAACGTGTTTTACGTCGACCTAATTCTTGGTCTTGGTGACTAAATTTTGCAACTGAGAGAAATGACTATGAACTATAGCTGTATTGTCGAATGAATTTTGTTTGAAATGCTTTATAATTTAATTAAATTGTCTATCACCATTTAAACGGGAATGTTTATCACTCTCTAGGTGGTTACATTTTCAATTTGTACCCTGGTTATATTTGACATTGTCAGAAATTGTCATAGGCAATTTGTAAGATTAAATAATCAAAATTAGTATAAATGCAGGTTGACGTTAGTTGAAATTATCCACCCTTTCTACACGACAGTTCACTTTCCAAAATCGTCTTAGTATTTGCCGATTTGTTAATTAAGTTTAATTGCGAAAGAAGCAATTATTGAGAAGTATTTTCCTAATTAAATCTATCATCATCAAATAAAAAGGTTACAATATGGTGGGCCCCAATCATGATTTCAAGTCTACATTTTAATATAAACTTGTCAAGTTGGGTGGATATTGTTTCAGTGCAATCGGTTATTTTTGGAGAGCACAGTCAAATGGATGCAAAAGGTTTTCAAAGAACCGTTATTCTATACTCAAATGATATTAATAAAGTCCACATTGCTATATGAAATTTCCAACACATTTCTATTTAGAATGAAATTTCGGTTTGCTTTCTTTGAATAGAATGTAATAATTAAGATATTAAACTTGTTATTCTTTCTATCGACTTTTAGTAAGACAGCATGTAACCTCTTTACTTACATTTTAATTTCTATCTGTGACTTTTCGTCATTTACTTTTTCCATTTATATCTCCTTTACCTCTCAACCGCAAAAATGAAATGACTTGAATATTTATCCTTGCTATTAATACTTAACTGTCAGTTCCCTTAAGCAGTGCTTCTTTTTGAATAATGCTACTATTATTTCAAAGTAAGTAGACACTGCTATATTTTCTTGACGCAGTACGCTGACTTGTCAACTTTAATTTTGGGGAAAACTTCACTGGTTGATCGTCAGGTTTTATTTCCACTCATTGCAGTCTTTGCGACAACAGTTACGTCAATCATTCTCAGTTATTTTTGCAGATGTGCAACAAATATTCTGCTAACTTAGAGTAGGAGAGATACATGGAGAGCCCCCCACCCCTCTTATTCCGATGTCAATTCCATATGGTTTATGACAATTAGATGGCTAATTAGCCAATACTCATTAGCTGTCTTGCTGTAATGCGGAGACTATTTAATTCGGAGTTTAGCATTATTGACTATATGAGTTATATTTTATTGAGGTCTTAATTAGTTTTACTCCTTTGACATTCTTTACATATGTTGCGTATCACGCACTGACACCATAGCCTCGAAAGCACACACGTACTCACACACTTTCTACTCACCCGCACCCCCGCTTTTCCGAACACGCACATAGGTAATTGGTACCCTGAGTGCAAGATTTTGCACATACCATTGCGTGATTAAGGACTGCCATAAGTCACTTCTTCATTTGCTCTTGAATGAAGTCTATTGCGGTCGTCTTCAATAGTCAAAATAAGATTCCAATCACAATGCCGACGACACCGTCTGATCATTTCTCTCGACGAACTCCTCGATCTGATATCTTGCTAGATTCAAGTTGGAGTGAGGATAGCGATTATCATTCACCCGGTGATTGTGAGAATTATTACAAAAGCCTTTTGGCTGCCAGCCAGTTAGAAGGGTTGGAGGAGGAGTTAAATAAAATTGCAGCTCTGCGATTGGAAATCGCCCGATCAGAGATGAACCTCTGTGGGGTAATGTCTTCGTAAATTGTGTGGCTTTATTCCAATAAATTTTCCTATGCTTGCCAGAATAATTCATTTGATGTTTGGGTGGATCATTCAGTTTTCATTCATTCATATTCGCCGTATTTATTAGCGAACCTTTTTTATTCATTGTTCTGTTTTAGTCTCGACCTTTGAGTGCTGGAGACGCCCTCCTACGGCAGCAAATTCAACCTCCAGTAAAAATGATTACCACAAGTGTTGGGTGCTCTCCGGTTGAACTTGTGGATGTATCTATTTCCGCTCAGAATTCACTTTCTCACCGGTCTAGTAGTTCCTTATCCGAAATTGATGAGGATATGGATACAACAGAAGAGCTAGAGGATGTGGAAACAGTCACTACTACAGCTGCTGCCATGGGATTAGTTACCACGGTTACGACAACTAAGAAAAGGCGAAAAAACACGCGACACAATCCCGTTACATCAGTTTCCCACATGATTACCTCACCTGAGGTCCCGCCGAATAATCTTGGTTTGGATGTGGAGATGAGACATGTGGCAGAATTGCAAGAACTTGTAAATTGATGGCTATTTATTATGAGTTAGTTGCTACGATACCTTCTTTATTTTTAACTTTTTGTTTGTTTCAGAGAGAGGCACTTATTAACGCACAGAACTTATTGGCAGAGAAGGAGATGGAGCTGGAAGATATGAGAGCTCAACTCGAGGTTAGTTTTGCAATGCTGGTTCAAATGTAAAATGATTTGGGCCTGTTAAAACAGCTTGTTATTTAAATAATCGTATTTACCCCATCTATTATAGTGGAGCTAATTAGACTGGGTGGTACATTGATGTCATATCTTTAATTTAATGAAACTTCGATACGTAGCACCAATTACTCAAATCAGTCTTTTGAAGGCTAATTGTCGATGTCTTATCTTTATTATATGGCGGTTAAACTAATAAATTTGCAGATTTTCATTTTTTGAGGCCGTGTAAATTAGTCTGCACTTCGTCTTAGTTTCTTTGTTACTGTTAATGAAATTAAAAAAAGTGATCTTGAACATATTAAGAAGTGATGAATGTGTAGTGAACCTGTTTTATACATCTTACTTTATTCGAAGGGTTGGGGTCTTCCTTAACGTCTATTAACGAACTTTCTCGAGCGGGTAGAAGCACTGCTTTGGCCTGTCCTTAAATAGATAGTATCTCTTATTAATACATTTTTAATGCCTGTATCACCCTCTTACATCTCTCTTGTTAATTTCATCTCTTTTCATCGCAGCCGCAAATAAAACCACTACAAGATAGCGTGGAAGTTCAGACCTTGACTAAGGCTCCTGCTGACGCTGGAGCCTGTTGGTCGTGCAGTTCCCAGCTTACACCCCTTAATAAGAGCTCCATAGTCACCATTGCTGCTGTCTCAACATCACCAACTCAACAAATCCCAATTCCAGTACAAACCCAGGTGCGTTCACGGGATTCTACCCTTTCACCACCGTCGTTGACTGAACGACAGTCGGATACAACTTCGGGTTCAAATGCTGATGGTTCGGTCTCGAGTGAATTTGGTGATGCCGAAGAAGAAGAGGAGATGTACCAGCAGATGGAACATGTGGTAAGTCTTTTGTGGTGATGAGAACGCTCTCTTGGAACTTGTCTGCTCACTTGAGTAGAGTCATTTCACATTTACTTGTGTGTTCTCATCTTGTAAATCCCTCTGTGTTTTTTTGGGTTTTATTAGCGGATTTAATATAGATGTTTTCATTGAACTTCGTTTTAAATTATATTGAAATAAGGTTAAATTTTGGCCCCCTGTTAACTTAACATACCTTTCTTGGACTTTTAGAAAGGAATGAGAAATTTTAAATCTATATTTAATTGCTATTTGATGGAATAGAGCCATCATTTGTTAATTGGGTTATTAATCTTCGTCTTGAAAGACGCCGATTTTATCCATTTTCTATCTGGAAATTATGTTATCTTTAATCCTTGTGTTCCCAGGTATCTGTGTTTTTGAGCCCTACAAATTTTCACTTCTCTATTCGAGGGCTTTTGAGTGCCATAAATTGTTTTGGAAAAATGAATAAGAAACTCGCCTTAAAGTAAATAGATGTTTTTTGCAGTTACCCTATTTTATTTATTCTACAATTGAAATTATGCTTTATTAGGCGTATTAGAAAATATATATTATATTCAACTGAATTGCAAATCTCTTTTTACAGGCAATCCGATAGATATGTTTACGTGAGGTCAAATCTCAGGATCGAATTTATAAAATGTGCTGGTTGGACTTCTTAAAAGTAGGCTTTTAATAACCCTGTTAGTGTATCCAAATTACGTCAAATATAATGAATGCCAAGGCCAATCGATACTACTGATATCAAAACACATTGTTTAATACCACTACGGAGTCTTTGCTAGCCATGGTATCAATATGTTGTTATTGAAATTAAATATTGAGTTAATTTAAACTGAAGTTCGATTGTGTGCTCCTCCAGCACACACACAGTTCTGTTGCATATTTTTATGTGTGCTTGTAAATCTCTCCAATCACCTCTCGCTTATTATTTATGATGAAATTTCACCAAATAGGCTGAGAAACCACTACTAAGCACAGGTACGCGCGTGTATCATAATTTCGTGCTTATGCAAACGTGTTCCCATTATTCCCGAAGCCCCTCTTTTTCACACAGAGTCTCAATCTTCTGATTTTTTATCGTCGTTTCTATTTTTTCTCCCTTTCACCTCTTCCTTCCATACCTCTACCACCCACTTCGAAAGAACACGTTTATTATGAAAAGACAGGTAGGGGAGAACACAAGGGTGATAATTTGTCAACCGGAAAACGGCGGATTTAAAATTTTTCTCTCTTTCTCTTTCTTTCCAGTCATCGAGTGAAAGCGACCATCTTGCTGCCGACTTGGAAGAAGCTAGAGCAGAAAATGAGGCACTAAAGGCGGAGATTAATGGTCTTATTAATTATCAGGTGAGTATTTCAATGTGATATGAAAAGTGTGTCCAGGGCCAAAATAATATCAAGTAAGGCCATTTCTTGTGCCTTTTTCAAAGAAAAAAGTTTTATTTTTTTCTTATATATTTGTACAACTGACCTGCTTATCTCAATATTTGCTATGACCTCCGTGTGATAAAATATCTGACAGTTCCAATATGTGCTTTTCTTTATTGACACACCGTACCATTAAATTCAACTTGAATTCATTAATCACTGTAGTCGATCACCTCTATTTCTGCCCTTGTCTCTTTCGGGGGTCATATTTTGAGTGATGGTTTCTTCAACCTCTTGAGTGAAGCATTTATTGCTGAAGAAAAATTCTTATTAGCAACTCTTCACTTTTTGGCTCAGAATTATTTGTTTATGGTCTTATAATTGGTTACTAACTGCTCCACATCCGCCTAGTTAGCAGCCTTTATGGTTGCTACTTATCATGGATATTCAAATTTAAGTTGTTTAGGTTGAAGCACGGGAATAGTATTAGTTGATGAGAAGCCGATGAAGGTACAATTATTCAATAACTCATCAATCACCATGAATTTATTGATAATAAAAGCAAATTGCCACCAAGAAATTATTATTGGCACGTATGTAAGTTTGTGTGACACATTAAATTAATATTAGTGATTAAACTATTCTATCCTCTGTAGGACGATCTTCACCGCGACTTTGAGGTGGTTCAGTCCATGCTAGAAGAGAGGCAGTCAGAAGTTGAACGTCTTCAAAAGGAGCTTCTAGACATGCCAATTCGACTTCAAGACGACTTTGATGCCTCTGTGCGCAAGCTCCAAAAACGCATATCTGACAAATGCGATGTAGTTGAAGAGCGAGATGAAGATCTCTATGTCCTTAATGAGGAAAAAGAAGCCCTTGCACAGAGGGTGAAGGAACTGGAGATTGAACTCGTTACCCTTCGTGAGAATCTTGAGGCTGGTGTTAATCGGGAGGACACTGCTTCTCAGACTGATCCACCCCATTGTACTGTGGAATCTGGCATTCAGGTTGATTTGGAACACTCCATTTCATCACCCAAAGTTGCTGAGCACTCCTACGCTGATACAGATTGTGCTAGCGAGGATGATCTTCCTTTTGATAACGACTTTATCATCCCTACAACCCAAACTAATAAACAATTTGCAACTTCTCAGACCACAGAAGAAACTTTGGCTGTTGTAGATCAGCTTCAGCAGGAAAGCTGTAGACTTTTGAGTCTCTCATTAACAGCTGCTTCAACAGAGGACCCCAATGATTACAAGTCCCAGTTGATCAGTCGGCTTATTGAGGCAAATAGAATACTCAAATCTGTGATTGAAAACGTGACCAAAGATCAGGATATTTCAACAGCAGAGGAATCGGCACTTACCACACCAAGAAGCAGGAGTCTTCCAAATTCCCTCTATTCCAGTCTTCTCTCTGCGCTTTTAGCCGATAGGAAGGCCGCCTTTTCACTTCTCACGTTGAATGTTATTGATCAAGCCTCAAGTGCTTCATTTGTTCGTTCCTCAAAGGGTGGCAGAATTAATGATGTCATGAAGGCCTTGGCAGCATATGCTGCAATGGAAGAAGAGGTTAGATCGAGAGTCCATACTTCTTACTTTGTATTTAATCAAATTTTTTCTACTCGATTATTTGCCGTTTTCATTCTAGCGTTGGAAGGAAGTGTCAACGGCACTGACGTCTGATCGAAAGGGTCTTTTATCCGATGTTGATTCCATGAAAAGGCGTCAAGTTTCACTTCTTGAAGAAGGTTAGCTTACTTTCTTGTTTATATTCGTACTAACATACCAATCGAGTATCAAACTAAATCACCCATTTCGCCTACTTCAGTGGCTCGTTTGAGTAATCAACTATCGGCTCGTGATACTCTTGTGGCTGAAAAATCTGCTGAGGTAAAGAAAATGTCTGAGGAAATCCAGACGCTTGGGGCGACAATTTCTGATCTCCATATTCAAGCGGAAGAAGCCAAAAAAGATAAGGAAAACATGCTTGTAATGACAAGGTGGGTTTATCGTTATTAGCTTGGCAGCAAGTGGATAGTGGTACTCTGTAGAGGAGGCATATCTTACCAACCTTCTAATTGGGAAGGAGGGGAGGGGGTTGTTGATTTATCTCCCTGTGATTTTTGATGGAAATTTAATCCAATTTAGTGGTGCAAATTAATCCAAACATTCGTATTTGCATAGAGCTCAGATTTAACTAACATAAATGCACTTTCAATTTTGCTTGCTACATCTTTCCTGTTCCTGCACTTTGAACTTTTGAGTTCATCAAGATGGTCCTTGCTACTGCACTAAGTGCTTTCTAATACATCGATAGAATTGACCTTACAGAATCAACTTAAGAAGTTACACATATAAGATTTCCAATCGAGACTTTTTCTGAATCCACTGTAAAGAAATTTTACGCTTTCTGCTTTTAAAAAGCGGGCTCCCAGAATCTCATTACTATTCGAACATTATTTTATTGAAAGGAAAAATTTAAAATATCTAATTTAGACAGGGTACACACTGTTTTGAGGACGTAGTTGTAAATCCACATTAATTATGCATATGTATCGCATTATTTATTGTTTTTTTCAATTCTGCATTTCTTGTATTTTGCATGATATTTAAAAGAAGCAATCTTTGCAGAAGTCAATATTTTCAAGCGCAGATTACATACTTCCATGCCGAAATTCATTTTGCTTTGATGTGACGAATTGCTCGATGGATTTATTTATTGCTTCTTTTTCACACATTTCAAGATCTCAAATAGAAGAGGAGCGCCAGAGAATAGCAGAACTGGAATCAACACTTGAGTCTTCTCAAAACGCCCTCCATGCGGCTCGAGAACGAATAGGAACTCTTGAAAATGATGTGCAGGTGCGTGCCACCTCTTTTAAAAAAGAAATTAATGCAATTAATTTGTTCAAGTGTCGTCATTCCGATTTTAACTGGTATATGCACTCTTACTTTCTGCAGAAATCTTCTGCTGACTTGAGATTGGAGCAAAATAGAAGTCAGTTGGCTGATACTCGAATTTCTCAACTCGAACAGGAAGTTAAGGCACTGAAATCGTAAGTTCTTACACAAGGCCACTACCTTAGCATTTTAATTGCTTCTCGATCTAGTATTCGGAATTAATTTACTAATTTGTGTTCTCTATAGGTCCTATGTTCGAGTTGGACCGAAAGCAAATGTCAATATTAATGTTGCTGATCTGAAACGGAATTCTTCGTCAACAATCAGTCATCTTTCAAGCCATTTAGCTTCAGTTCGACTTCGAGCTATTCAGGCTGAGAAGATGTCTCGAGATCTTCACGTATCTTCCCTTGCCTGCTTTTTAGCTTTAAAAAAACAAGGCATTAGTACTTTCATGTTTCTTTTTTTTGCAGACTTGCAATCAGGATCTGCGTGTATCACTGGCTGAAGCTGAACTTGCTCTTCTTCCTCTCTCTCTGGGCAAAGAGAACGGTCACTACTTGGTTAATGGTGTGGGAAGCGGAAGTGGTAGTTCGAGCGGAGATGACGAAAGTGCTCCCTATAGTGGTGTGGAATCAATGCCCGCCCCTCGTGCCTTCCCTAAACAGCTCACAGACTCTGGTTTCGCCGATGCCCCTGCTGGTCTACGTCGCCTCCATCTTACCTGCATGAGGCTTCTTCATCTCGTCTCCTTGGCAACTGGAAGGTCCACTCATGGAGATGCCGGTTCTTCTTCCTCATCTTCAGACAGTTTGAACAATCCAGCAGAGCTGCTACGTTACGCTGTTCTTGGGGGAAAGAAAACTGACTACGCTGAAGTTCGCGCAGGGCCAGCCGAAGTGTATGGATGCTTAGCCGAAATTGAATCTCATGTCAGAGCGATGGTTGGCGGTGATGGTGTTTGTGGTTTGAGCAATAGCTCTGCGCTGAAGTCTAACTCTGCGGCTGCAGCTCTGTTGGCGCAAGCTAAGCAACTTATCATCAATGGAGTTGCCCAACTGGACTCAGGTATGGCACAAATCACAGGCTCGGTGGATGCACCCGATTCAATTAGCCAGGTGAGCACTACTATTCACTTTATAACTAGCATCACTGGAAAAATGGAAATAAATCTTAGTATAAACATTACTTCTTCTATGATTCACTTGCAATCTGAAGGCCTTGATAGTTCGATTTGGCAGATCGGTTGTTGTTTGGAGAAAGTTGAACAAAGTATAAAACTGCCTACGGGGTCCTTTCGAGGAAAATATTTCTATATAATGACTGGTTCTTCTTCCAGGTGTGTTAAAGGTGTTGTCGTACATTGTGCTTATTTAAGATAACAGTTCATTCTGTATTCGCATACTTACTTGCAATGTGAGCAGCTTACTGGAACCAACGTGGATTTTCGCCGTTCATTAAAATAAAATGGTTTCGGATCACTTGGAAAAGAATCGAGGGATTTTACTTACTAGTCGGTCTTTATCACAATAGGTGTTTAAATAGTTCATCTCCTACCTTCTATGCTGTCCAAGGGACACCTATTAAATTGTGTAGACTAAATTAACCCCAGCTTTCAGGCTTTTCGAATGTGTCCATTCATTGCCAAGCATGATGTGTTGCCTCTATCCACTTTTTTTTTCAAGAGGAGCTTGAGTTGAATTCGGGTGCCTATGCCGAATTACTAACCACTTCAGTATTTAAGCCCTGGATGCCTTAACCTGGGTGGTTAATAATGTACCATTATTTTCCGGTAGGAGGATTCGACCCTCTGCTACGCCTCCGGAAATGTCCAGATGGTAGTGACCTAATTTTTATGACTAGACCAATCCCTGTGTGTATTCCCCCTCGATGGACTACCTTATACACATCTTCTGCGCTGTGTAGAAAGACGCCAATTAAGAGAAGTTTCTGAGAACCCTCTTAGGGGAATTGCAAATTCAATTTATTTTAGGTTACGACATGGGATTGGCGGTTAAGTTGAGTAAAACTTTTTTGACAATGTTGTAATTTCCTTGTCAATTGAGCTCTTTAAAATTCATTGGTTTTTGCTTATTAATTACCAATTACGCTTTTATTTCCCAATGAGACTGTGCAATTTAACCCATAATATTATGCTGTGCGAAGTAATATGCAAATAGAAATTGGTTCAAGTGCGGCTGGATTGGCTGTTTTTTATTACTTTATTATTTTTGCACTTGAGGCAATTTATGGATCTATATCGATAATAGGTTGCATACTTAATAGTTAAAATCTAGAATCTAATAAATGAAAGCGCCCTCCTCTGGCTCTAATGTATGCTTAAAGCTTTCTCATCAAGTTATGAGGGGTGTCTAAAACATTTTGGTCTTTGAATCTTGTCGATGATTTTGGTTCTGCTTGTGTACGGCGCGCCTTTTCTCTCTATATCTGGCTACCTTTTTTCACAATTCATCAAAATCATTGAACTCTGTACATGAAATTTTTGCCATCTCTCACACTTACTTTGGGTATCTATGAAAGCGTTAATTGGGAGTCAATTCTGCTTGCATTCATTCGTATGAGCATCACTTATATTTACTACTCTATCTTATTGTGGGTGTTTTTATTTTCTAATTAGTCAATGCCCTACTTTCTAACGTCACATTATCTAATTATAGGTCCTAACTGATTCCAAATCTACCCAATGCTCCCTTGTCACAAATCATCAATCCTCGGGCGATTCTCGAACAGTCTCCCTTGAAAAGGTCAGTCACATATCCCCTTTCTCACTTTTATCTCATAGCACTCATTTCCTTAATCCTTTGAAAATTCTAAAGACTCTGGTTTCACCCTGTGGCGATCATGTCCCTCCAGGCAGCACCGGAGAACTGGTATCTAATTAGGGTTTTGGGTTTTCGTTGAACTGTGGTTTCATATTTGCTGTTCTTGGTTTTAATTGTTGATATACTTCTTACATTCTGTTTAAGTATAACCTTTCTAATCTTGCAGTTCCGTCATATGTCGGCACGGTACCTACGAATGGAGTCCTACAGACGAGCGCTCGTCTATCAAAAGCAGTACCTTTTGCTTCTCCTTGGTGATTTTCAGCATTCCGTGCAGAGGGTGACATCGAGTTTAGGACAGGGTCTACTTATGGGTACAACGAGTCGGCAGGATGTGGACGGCAACCCTTTGTCAACTCCACCCCACTGGCCACTGGAATCTCCCCCTTCTCTTGTGCGGTTCCGTGCTGCCGCTAGGTGTATTATGGTAATTCACAGGTTAGTGATTTTGCCGCAGGAATAAACATTTTTGCCTATAACTATGTTCTGTTTTAGCCTCTCAAGCGGTGACTTAAAGTTGTTGTCAACTTGGGTAAACTGGGCTCATAATGTCAAATTCTTGAGACTTGCTCTGACAGTCTTCATTTAAATTTCTCAACACTGGCTCCAATACACAGTTCATATTCAAATTGATTATTTATTTATTTGGCTCTATACAAGTCCATCTAACTGTGCTTCCATAAGTCAATTTAATTTCATTATTGAATTCGTCATCTCGTTTGTGGATGTTTGTCGTTTTATTCCCTATTGATTGGCATTCACATTCAATGTTGTTCTATGGGTTATTTTGATGCTGTACACGGTAACTATATATGCAAATTTCACAATCAGTTCCGGAATTTTAAGAAAATGTATTCAGAGAGAGAGAGAGAGTTAGTGGTTGCCAACACGTCATCAGTAATCATTCTGAATTAGTTTCCTATTTGCAAGTCCAACTCTTGACTTGGGTGGCCATGATTTGACTCACGTTAATAGTTGCTGTGTATGATTGTATTAACGGCTGCGTTACATTGTCAGGGGCTCAACCTCAGTGTTTAGGCCCATTCTCACCAGAACACCTCATCTGAAATTTTATTGATAATTCAGCTCAATTCTTGCTATGTCAGAGGTTAAATTACTACCAAACATGGTCATCTAATTATTGCTTATTTCTCCTGCAGGGTTAAACAGCTGCGTTTAAAGTGGCTTCGGACAGGTATCCGCGGTCATGCACCGGTATACCTTACTTCGGACAATCGGACTCCAACAGCCATGAGCCAGCCGAATGCGATTACTTCCCCCGCATCTGCCTCTACAAATGTTCCTTCTCAAATCTCAACGGTTGGAAAATCACCTCAACTTGTCAGTCGCCACTTCAACCTCTCCCTCCCTTCTCAACGTCGTAGTTCTGACGAAAGAGGTGCTTATTTACTGACCCCTTCCTCTAGGTATGCATCTACTCAAATTCCCTCTTGTTGTCTCCCAAGATTATTGCGTATTGATGTTTACCCACTTTAGAATTCAGGATTTGAGTTTGGGTGTGAGTCAACGTCGAAATAACTCAACCCCATCAGTAAAACAGATACCACGTGGACCATCTTTCCCTCGGATGGACACTCATCAGCATCACCAAGTGGAAGTTTCGGGATCTTTTCAGCAACAGCAACATCAGACCCCTCCAAGTCAACATCATCGAGTGCCCACATCATCCGCTAGTCTCCCTGATAACGGCACTGGTGTCGCAACGAGTCGTTATCGATGGGATTCTTTCAGGGGTTGAACAAAATGTCACTAGTCCTCTCAGATCTTTTCTTTATACTCCTGACTATCTTTTTATGATGAGGTGGTTTAACTAACCCTCCTTCCTTTTGTACATACCTCTTCCACTACCTGTATCTGTCATGCTTTTTATCTTTCCCTCCGCCCCTAATTTTTACTCTCTCACTTTCAGGTGTCTTATTTCACCTTGTTGGCCTGGCTACTACTAATTAACCCACTACCACTACTTCCATACTACTGAAAAGTTGTCCGTTGGACTGTGTGAGTGGCGTGGAAGGGCTGTGCATTTATTTAATGCGATTATTAATAAACAAGCAGTGCGTTGTGTTTTAAAGGTACATGTCTGTTCGTTTCTCCGGCGGGAAGGCTGTTAAGTTAGTTAACGTATTCAGAGGGCAATCGGGCGGAATACTACTCCTTTTCACCTTAATTCCGGTGTATAGAAAGTATCTATACATTTAGCTAAGAATTTATTATTATTTTGGTTGCCGGCTTGATTTAGCTTTAGCAAATTGTCATTCCAAGGGTGGAAGAAAGCAGAATTATAATTACCTCAGAATACCCCATTACTATTAGCAGACTTTGCGGGAACAAGGTTCTTATTTATTTATATCAAATGGCATGCGCTTTGATGATTACCATTAGCCCTTTAGTTGACTTCAGGCTTCACAAAGGGAAAAGAACATCAAAATGAAAAAAAGTCGAGAGGGAGGGACGGAAGAGTGTTTCAATGACAAAGATAGAAAAAAGGTGAGATGAGTATTGTGGAAGTAGTCGAATATGACATACAGTGGGGTGATGGTAGTTTGAAGTGAGAGATCAACTGCCGGTTTATAGACTTTTTTTGCCGTATGAGTATACTTTGCCCAGGTAAGTCTATCGCACACCCCATAAGGTTCTTATAAGTTTATCACTTTTTAGCCGAATTAAGGGTAAAGACGTCGACAGTATCACGGTTCGCACGACGGGGAACTTTGAGACTAGCTGTGGTTTGTTGGTTCCACATCCCGGGATAGTGGATGGAGTCTGTGGCTTGGTCAGACCAACAGGAATGTATTGAGTTGACAGTACTTGGTATTGCAAGCAATTATTACGATATTATAATTACAGAAAAAAAAACAAAATGTGTAGCCAGCTAATGCAAAGCTGATAATTGATGGAAATTCGAATATCCG